GCCCCGCCCGCCGTGCCGCGAGAAGGCCTTCGTCTGGCTGTCCCGCCGGGAGAAGGAGGACGCCTTGCGGCGGCTGGCGCAGCTCCGGGCCGAGGGCGAGCGCCGGCAGCAGCGCGACCGGGAGCGGCAGGCCCTGCGGGTGAGTCTGCGGGGGGCGCGGCCCCTGCGGGGGGGGGCGGGGGGCGGGGGGGGGGGGGGCTGCCCCCTCGGCCCCTGCAGGGAGGGGCCCCTCGTGCCGGGCGCGCGCTCCCCTTACGGGGTCCGCGGCGCCCCTCGGGGCTCGCCGGGGAGCAGCGCCGCCGCCTCCCGCTCCTGCGGGCCGGAGCAGCTGCTTTTGCAGGGGGAGGGGGGCGGTTGCTGCCCCGCAGGAGAGGCAAGCCGGGAAACGCCCCCCCAGCCGGCGCCCCGTCTAGTTCCAGGAGAGGCTGTCCATCGCCAGGCGTCGCAAGTCCGAGGAAGAGCTCCTGGGAAGCAGCCCGGTGGAGCGGCGGCCCCTTCCCGCGGGAGACCCGGGCCAGGTACTGCTGCCCTCCTGCGCTCCAAGCAAGGGCGCCGAGTCAGGATCTGGCCCCTCCGGGGACGGGACGGGGGAGGCGGCGGCGCCGGCGGCCCCCCCGCTTGCCCGAGAATCGCCCGCGCCCGCGCGGTTCTAGCATTTCCCGGGCACCTGCGAGGCGCCGGAGCGGCTGGGGCTTGAACCGCATCAGAGGCGCCTGCGCGTGCAAAGTCACCTCGTCTCTGCCGGTTTGCTGATCTGAGTGGCCCGGCCTTTCTGCCAAAAATGCTGCCTGAGGCGGAAGGCCCTTGATGCAAAGCTCCGTGCATGGCGACCAGAAGGATGCTCCCTGCTTCCTCAGAGTACTCTGGCTGCCATGCCCCAAAGGGGCCTCTGTGCCTCCCATTCTTCCAAGACAGGGATGCTGACCTTTGAGAGACCACGTGCCCAAACTGCAACCCAAAACCCACTTATGTATCGCAAAGTGCCAACACTGCACTCAAACCTGAAAACTGAGGCTTTAGTTTAGGAAAAACAACCCACAGCCAGTCCAAGCAAATATCTATGCATCCTTGCCAGCGCACTGACCGGCCATGCGAAAGCTCGGACGAGTCGCGGCTAATGAGTCACACCTCAAGACGTGGTCACCTGGCGCCGCTAATCCTTCCCGCGCGTACGCATGGCCCCCACGTGCGCTGTTCTCCGGTGCTTGTCTCCTTGGCCAGTGCCGGGGCGACTTGTCTCCCATGCCCACGGAGGGGATTCTGCATGCCCGCTGTGGCACGTGTGACATGGGTTCACCACCACTGCCCTAACCCTTCCCTGGTGCACATTGCTAACCCTAATATAGGGGTAAAACACCATAGAAAAGGGGGTGATTTTGCAAAAGCCCTCCTTGAGTAGCTTTGTCTGCACAGCTCAACATTTCTGCCCATTCTAAACACATTCCAGCCATCAAAATCGTGCCAGGACACCTTGCTTCTCTAACCCTAACCCCACCCTGCTGCACACCCCTAACCCTAATAGAGGGGTAAATTTCCATTGAAAATAGGACAGTTTTGAAAAAGCTGTCCTTGATGCCAGGACACCTCGTTTTTCTAACTCCAACCCAGTGATGGCAACCCTTTTAGAGATGGAGTGCCCAAACTGCAACCCAAAACCCACTTATGTATCGCAAAGTGCCAACACTGCAATAAAACCTGAAGACTGAGGTTTTAGTTTAGAAAAAACAACCCACAGCCAGTCCAAGCAAATATCTATCCAGCCATCCTTTGTACTGCACTGACCAGCCATGTGAAACCTCGGACGAGTCACGGCTAATGAGTCGCGGCCTGTGACGTCATCGCCTGGCACCACTACTCCTTTCCGAGCGTGCGCATGGCCCCTATGTGCGCTGTTATCTGATGCTCGGCTGCTGGGCGACTGGGCTCGCTTGCCGACAGAGAGGGCTCTGTGCGCCTGCTGGGGCACCCGTGCCATAGGTTCGTCAGCACTGTTCTAGGATCACAGCAGGAGCCCCCTGGGAGACGGTGCCTTGCGGTTTTGTAAAGGAGGTGCAATCTCAAAAACATTTCTAATGGGGGCTGGCCCAGTCCTTTTTTAAAGACCCGCCAAACACGATGACCTATGACAGCAAACCCCCCCCCCCCGCATCCGCCCCACTCCAGACGTCTCCCCCACCTGGAAAGCCCCTTCACCGCTGCAGCCCCCGTGTGCCGCGTGGCCGTGCAGGTCAAGATCCAGCCCAGCGGCCGGGGAGGCTCAGCCGCCGTGGCACCGTCCTCCTCCGGCCCGGGAAGGGCCCTTTCCCGCTTCCCACCTCCAGCAGCAGGTCCTGTGCGGACTCGTCTGCAAGGAGTCAGCGTGTGCGTGTGAGCGTGCGCTGGTGTGCATACAGCACCCCCCCCCCCCGGCCTGCTTGGACCACACACAAGTCCCGGCCCACGGGCAGAACCCCTTTGCGCCCCCCCCCCCCGTCCTGTGCAGGGCACTGGTCTCACGCTGCCCTCCCTCTCCAGCAGGACCAAGCCGGGCAGAAGACGGCCGTGAAGCGCCACCTGGAGAAGGTGAAGCGAGAGCGGACCTATGTCATGCAGGTCAAGAGGCAGAGGTGAGGGGAGGCGGGGGGTGGGGTGGGCCGGGGGCGGCAGAGCGGCAGCTGCCCAAACCGCTGACCGTCAGTAGGTCGGGGGCCCACGAGCGGCCCGGCTTGATCAGCGGGAGCCCGTCCTGCCTCCTGCCAAAAGCCGAGAGACTTGCCAGAGGGCGGACCCTCCTCCCTACCCTCTTCCCCCCAAGTTAGAGTCTTGCCACCAAGAAAGGAGGGTTCTCCCACACCCACAAAATGCCCCCCCCAGGCAACCGCTTCCGGGGCGACAGAGGTCTCGGCCCAACACCAATGGGCGTCTGGAGCCACCCCGGTCCTGGCCCCATTTCCCCTTTCAGCAGAAACCTGCCGGAGCCCAGCCACACCCTCTCTCTGCCCCACAGGAACACGCTGGGGTTCCAGGAGCTGCTGCACCCACTGGTGACCCCGCGGGAGGAGAGCCCGGAGGCGAAGCAGCTGGGAGATGCGTGAGCGGAGGGGGGACCCCACCCTGGGACCCCCACCCTGCTGGCCGTGCTGGGGCCCGCCTGCAGTCAGAGGCTGCTTCCAGACCCCCGAGCTCAGACATTCTGCAGAAGGGTCTGCACAGCTGGGGGCAGTGGAGTGCCCAGTCCAGCCAGCTTTTGGTTACCGGCCATGTTATTAAAAGTAGCGTTGCTTGTTACATACACAATACATAAAGTATATAATAGCTATGTATTCATGCCAGAGATTTACTTAAGTTGCATGAAAGAAAATTGCAAGATGTTTTATCTTTCTCCTCCTTTCCTTTTGTTTGGCTTTTGATTTCAAAGCACAAAATAAAAAATAATAATTGTAAAAACCTTAGCGCCGGCTTTTGGAGTTGCGGGTGGGTGGATATTGATTGTATGCCAAGCTGTGTGTCCACCTCCCCCATCTTTGCCCAGACTTAGCTGTGCAAATTCACTTTACGAAGGCGGCTGCCACGCTGAGGCCGTGGCTAGTTTTCTGGACAGGAAGGCAGCGCAGCCTCGCGTTTTGAATGCCTTTGTCAGAAGGGAACATGCTGCCTGGGGCAGCTTCCCTCACCGGCCCGCGTGCGCCGTGCGTCCGTGCCAGGAGGCTTCACCGGGGCTGCTGCACGGACAGCCACCTGGCGCGTCCTTCGGCTAGCCATGCAGATCGGGGAGCACGACAAATCCAGGCGAGACGCCCCTCCTCTACCCATCCAAGATGCATTAGGCTTGCAAGACCCAGCGGCCCCACCTCGGGGACCACGCCGACCCCCCAGCTCCTGCCCTGCCCGAAACCCAGCAAGGTCCCTGCGTGGTGCCCATCGCAACTCACCCCGCTAAGCCGCAAGCCAACGAAAGGCACAGGAGGAGCGACTCGGGTGATAGATAGTCTGGGTTTTATTAGCTGAACATGCCTTGCTCAAAGGGCCACGTCCCGTGGGTTCAGCAGGGAGAAAGCCCCGTTCTTGCGGAAGAAGCTCTCGATGCGGGTCTTGGGTGTGGGGGCCACGTGGGCGCCGGCCATCTTCCCTGGGGAGACACAGGAGTGGAACTGTACTGGCAGGGCCTCTGCCCCCCAGCTGCCCTTCTTGGGGTGGACACGAAGCGTTTCCTCAGCCCAGGATTATGGGGGCACCAGCCCCTCGCTGGAACGTAGATTTCGAGTCGGTGCTTCGAAAGAGTCCACTATTGCTTGGACTGATTTAAAGTCAGTCCGTTTTAACTTGGCACTGAGTTGAAGCTCAGAAATGTGATGCTTCGTGTCTATTTATTTAAAACGTTTTTATACCGTCCACTACCAAAGTCTCAGGATGGTTTGACAGTAAAGCAGAATAAAACAAAATAAAAAGCAGCTTCCTAATTGATTTCTAGCCATAAAACCCATATTAAAATGACAATCAAACCTTACAGCATTGGGAAAATAAAAATGTTTCAGCCTAGTACTGAAAAGAATAAAGTGACGGTGCCAGGCATACCTCTTTGAGGAACATATTCCATAACCGGGGAACATATTCCATAACCACCACAGAGAAGGCCCTTCTCCAGGTAGCCACCTCCTAATCTCCTTCAAGGAGATCCCCCAGAGAAGGATCTCTGCCCCAGATCTTTGCGTTTCTCACTGATCACCCTGAAAAGTTAAAAATGGTTGTCACAATTTCTTCTCTTGGTCCGAATTGGATGATAGTTGCTGGCACAGTAACATCTCAGGAGCATTACAGGGGCTTTTGTGCTGTGCATCTATATACCTCCCTGTTCTTATTTGAAAATAAAGCAGGTGGCCAATAACTTCTTAATTTCCTGGCAAAATTGGGTGACAGCTGGGCAGAAGCCTCTGCCTTCCGTTGCTGCTCTCGTCACCCCTGCAGAGCAGCTGAGCCTGCTGAGTTTCGGATGACCGCACAGTGAGGCAGGGGTGCCAAAGAGGCCGTTCCGGTTCCGGGGTCTCTTTAAAAGGGCAGGCTTATTCTCCTGATGCTTCTCACGGGGCAGCCTAGAAGCATTTCTGCGCAGGAAAATTGAAAAATTTCTGGAGGACACTGACAAGTCAGGGAGTCGATGTTTGAGAACCGGGTTAAGGCTTTCGTCGCGGTGGCACCAGGAGAAGGGCCATTTCACGATGCCGTGTTTGACCTTCCCCAAGCTCAGTGTTTGGAGCCCATGGAGAAACACGCCCCGGGATAAGAGGGGGACCTGCCAGCCACTCCAGCTCCTCTCCACAGCGATTACAGAATGAAACGGGATGCCCTTTGGAGACCTGTGAGCGCATCGCCAACCCGAAAGACTAGCAGTGGTGAAATGCCTTTGTGGAGCAGTTTCGGTTCTGCTGGCTTGGGAGGGAAGCCCACCTGCAGAACTGGACCAGTCCGGGCCCCTCGCCCTCGGCACTCTGCCCAGCCCCTCCCCACTCACCCATCTGCCAGCCGTAGTTGAAGTTGGTGGTGACGGGAAAGGTGTACTTGTCCTCCGGCGGGAGGAGGAGGCGGGTCTTCAGGTAGCAGGAGCGGCCTTCGTTCTCGTGGGAGATGCCCTGGTACAGCAGGGCACGCACCTCCCGGGGCGCCGGCCGCATCTCCGCTTCCAGGATCGTGGCGTCCAGCCCGGTCAGGTCGCGCTCCCGGGGCAGCCTCCCGGGGGCCGGCGCCTGGGGAGGGGAGCTGGGCTTCACGGGCGGGGGGGCCTGGACGGAGGGGAGCTGGAGGGTGGCCCCCACGCCCCTTTTGTGGCGCTCCCGCTGGCTCTCCTGCTTGGCTTTGACGAGGGCCCCGTACTTGCGGTGCCAGCCGAAGCGCAGCATCACCTCCTTCAGGTACTCCTCCTTCCAGAAGTTCTGCTGCAGCGTGTCCATGTTCAACGGCCGCGCCATGGCTGGGGGGCGGAGGACGCCGCAGCACCCACTGGAAACGCTACCACCCGACCGGCTCCTTCGGCTGCCCCTCCTTCCCCACTGCAGCGCCGCCCGGCAGTGCCAAGCAGTGACTCGGGTGGGAGCAGCCCTGGCTGGCCCTGGCCCTGGCTGGGGGTCTCGAGTGGGCCGCACGCCTGGCAGCCCTCCCCTCACAGCTGCCATAGCAGCCCCTGTGAGCTCAGAGGCCGCCCTGCTCCAATGGGCGGACCCGGATCGAGGGGGCAGGCCCGCGAGGCGGGGGCAGCAGGACAGCCAAACCCTCCGCGCAGCATCGTCCTGAACTCGGGTGACGGGACGCTTGGCGTCTCTGGCAGCCGGCGAAGGGCCGGGTGGCATTTAACGCATGAGCCCAGCACTCCAGATGGGCTGGCCTGCGACCCCATCATCCCAGGACGGCTGGGGAAAATGGGAGTTGTGGCCCAGCGTGTCGGAGGGTGCGGGGCTGGAGGAGGCTGTGTCGAGCCACAGCCAGGTGCGCTGAGGCAGGGGAGCCGGCACGGGGGACCCAGCCCCGAGCAGCAGCGTGGCGATGCATGGCGTGGACCGGCGGCAGCGTTCGGCCTCCCACGCAGCCCCCCTTCTCAGCCTCAGCAGGCCTGGCCTGGCCGGAGCAGCAGCCGGAGAAGCCCTCGCTGAGCCTAAGCAAGCAGCTTGTGTGCTTTCGTTCTCCTTGGCCTCCTCCCGGTCCGTCTGAATCCTAAAAGAGCCAGGAGCCACCCTTCATGTCTAATGAAGGAAGCGATCCCATGCCTGTTTAGTCAAAACAGGTGCCGCAACCCCCAGCATTCCCCAGCCAGCCATGGGGAATGCTGGGAGTTGCGGGGTGTTTTTGGGATTGTGCCTCAAGTGCGTGAGCAGCTTTTCAGTAGCTTGTTGTCCAGTTTTAAGCTCTCAGGACACAGAACGCTAAGGAGATCTTTAGCCATTTCCAAAGAAAATGCAAATGCAGAATTTGAAAGCAGAAGGGGCCAGTTTTTCACAGCCTGTGCCCTGTTGCAGGTTCACAGACAAACTGTACCAAGAGGCAAAGCCATCCTGTAACTTTCCCCAAAGCTGTTTTTCACAGTATGCAGCTCCGGCCCCGATCCTGGAGAAAGCAGAGCGCTCCTTTGGCCAACAGCAGCCTCGTCTCCTACACACAAAGAACAACTTTGCTGAAAGAGAGAACACGCCAGGAGGAAGAGGAGGAGGAGGTGCCCATGGTGGTGGTGATGGATGGACCCCCTGTATTTTCCCAAGCTTTTTTTTACAGTGGTACCTCAGCTCAAAAACGCTTCAGTTCACGACCAAATCGGGTCACAAACAAAAATTTCATAAAAATCTTAACTCGGGTCGCAAACTCTGCATTGGGTGACGACCATGATCACGGCCATCTCTTCCCACCCCCGAGTGGGGAGATGGCCACAATTGTG